TTCTATTTTGTTTCAGCTATTATATAGATTGAAGTCAATTTACCACAGCAAATAGCTAACCCTAACTCTCTCTTTTCCTTCCCTTGTCCTATTACCTAATTAACATGCTCTGATTATGAGATTGTTTTTTTTAACCAGGCTTACCAGTTGTCTATAGGTCATTCATAAGAAACACTGTCCTAGGCCCTTGTCATTCATGTGCAGGTAAAGGTGAGAAGCTAAAACCTAGAAGAGATTTAGAAAATACTCTTATTTCTATTCAGTGTTATAAGGATCTTGTGTGATGTACTGACTCAAAATTATTATCAGTGGTTGCCTATAGTGCTGTGTTGGAAAATTTTCTGAGGCAGTGTCCAGGCTAATAGAAAAGAACACTGTGATTAATTGGCAATAACTGTCATGGGCAAGTGAGGTAAGAGTGATGGCCCGGGTTCAAAAAACTTCGTCATTTCTGGGGTTAAGCCAATGTCTGTGAGTGCATTTACTAGGCTGTTCCTAGAAATATAACCCAGATTTTTTAAGTCTCAAGTAAGAGACACTTACTATTCAGGCAACATTGTTGTCATAGCTTTCATTTATACAAATTGTGTGATTTATTGGCAGCTTTGACAGGCAAATGGTTTTGACAGGCAAAAACAGCAAATGGTTTTATTTTGTAGGATTGTGACCACATATCTTTAATTTGATGACCAAGCAACTCCCAGTTTGGTTTTTAGACTGGCCTAAAATACAAGGAAACAAAGAATAGGAAACATTCCCTGGTTAAGCTGTAAGTGGTTAAAAAGCAGACAGAACTCTATAATTTCTGCTGTGGAAATTAGAGTTTACTTACAGTGGCTCTCAAGTGCTTGGATTTCTTAAGCTAAGTGTTCTTTTTTTTTTTTTTTTTTTAGTTTTTTAATGTTTATCTTATTTTTTGAGAGAGAGAGAGAGAGAGAGAGAGAGAGACAGAGTGTGAGTGAGGGAAGGGCAGAGAGAGAGGGAGACACAGAATCTGAAGCAGGCTCCAGGCTCTGAGCTGTCAGCACAGAGCCCGATGTGAGGGTTGAACCTACGAACAATGAGATCATGACCTGAGCTGAAGTCGGTCGCTTACCCGACTGAGCCATCCAGGTGCCCCAAGCTACATGTTCTTGGTTACTATTTTCTAGATGACAAAATGTTAAAGTTCAGATGCACATATCTGAGTCCAACTAATAATAGTGCACCCACCAAAAATATCAGCTTAATCTGTAAAAAAACACGTTAAAGATTTCCTATGTTCATGGGACATGAAAATACTGGCCACCTGGGAAAGAATAATACTTTTCAACACAAAATAAGATTGATAAGTTAGCCAAGAAATTCAGGTAGTTTTTAATCATGAGGAAACAGTCAGACACATCTAAATTGAAGGATTTTCTCCAAAATAACTGGCCTAGAATCTTCTTAAAATGTCAGTGTCATGAAGGAATTGAAAAAAAAAAGAAAGAAAAAACACTGGGAAGGGGTTGTTTTAGATCAAAAGAGACTAAAAAGGTATAATACAATGTGTGATCTTTGAATCTTAGATAAAGCTGAACAAAGACATAAAAGAGATTTATTGGAGAAATATGAACATGAACTTTATATTACATAATAGAATTGTATTAATGTTAAGTTCCTTGAGTGTGATAATCATAGAAGGTAGAATAATGTCCTTTTTCTTAGAAGATATGTGCTGTAGTATTTAAGACCATGGTGTCAAAATGTCTGTCACTTACTCTCAAATGTTCAGAAAACAAAATATGTGTGTGTATTATACATGGAGACATAAAACAGATGTGGTAATAGCCAGTGAATCTAGGTGAAAGATACACAGGCACTTATCATTCTAGTTTTACAACTTTTCTGTAGGTTTGAAAATTTCACATGAAAAGATTGAGGAAAATAAATGAATTGGGAAAAAATTGAGATAATTTATACTTAGCTTTTATCAAATTTAATGTCTGATGGCAATTGGTAACTTTAGACATTTTAACTTATAAAAATATATAGAAAATTTGGGAAGTAGGGAGATAATTTACCTATTACCCTGTCATTTCTAATACAAATATTATACTTTTCTCTTGCTTCTCAATTTTTTTCTATGTGCATTTATAAATAACATCACATTGCTACAATTTTCATCTGTTTTTCCACCAAATATTATGTCCTAAGAATTTTCTTTTTTTTTCTTTTTTTTAATTGTATTTATTTATTTTGAGAGAGAGAGAGAGACAGAGTGTGAGCAGGAAAGGGGCAGAGAGCGGGAGACAGAATCCTAAGCAGGCTCCAGGCTCTGAGCTGTCAGCACAGAGCTGGACCTGGGGCTTGAACCCACAAGCTGTGAGTGAGATCATGACATGAGTCAAAGTTGGATGCTCAACTGACTGAGCCACCCAGGCACCTCCTAAGTATTTTCTATACTATTATATCTTAAGCAGTCACAACAACCACTTTTAATAATTTCTTGGTATTCTTTTGAGGAAATATGTATTTTCTTCAACAATTCCACAATTTAGTTTTCTAATAAGTAATCTTCAATGAATGTTTTCTCATGTGGCTTTTTCCACATAGTGGATTCTAATATTGGCGTAGGTTTCCACAGGTCAGGTTGCTTGATCTAATGACCGTTTATGGAGGACTATAAACACTCTGCCATGATTTATTCTTTTAAACTCTGAGATAGTGGGAGCTTAATGAAAGTGGGCTATTTTAAACAGTTACACTTCTTTGGGTCTGAATATTTTTAGATTTCTAATGCTCCTTCCTTGCCCTGTCCCTGTCAACTGCTTGCAGGACCCTCGGTCTTTCTTTGCCACCATCTATTCCTTTAGATGAATTCTTTCAAACTGAGATCCTGGGCACCAAGAGGTGGGGGTCTTTAATCTTTTCAACATTTCACTGGCCTAACAGAAATCATACGTTTATTTACAATTAAGCACGTGTGAGCGAGCTTAGAAGTGCAGTCTCTGGCCCTAGTTGAGCCTTGCTATGACTGAAACCCTGGCCAATAGCTCACCTGCAACCTGAGTCTCTGAGCCAGAATCCAACCACCCTGCTCTCAGGTTCCTGATCCTCAGAGATTCTGTGAGACAATAAAGGTTTGTTGCCTTCAGCTGTCAAGGTATAGAGTAATTTGATACATAGCTACAGATTAACTAATACAGAATTTGGAAATGGGATGTGGTCTAAAAAACACATAAAATGTGGACAGAAGACTTGAATAAACACTTCATAAAAGAAGATGTCTGAATGATTAACGAGCATATGAAAAGGAGCTCATCATTAGGCATTGGAAAAATGCATATTAAAACCACAATGAAATATCATTTCATACACACCTGAAAGGCTTAAATCAAACAGAGTGACAACTTCAAGTGTTGATGAGGATGTAAAGTAATCGGGACTCTCATACATTGCAGGTGGGAGTATAAAACAGTGCAATCACTTTGAAAAACTAATAATATAAACCTACCCCTATTGACCCAGAAAGTACAGTCCTGGGTTTATACCAAAATAAATGATTGCATATGTCCAAAAAGAAAAGAGTACATAAATGTTCTTAGCAGCTTCCTTCAGTATATGCCTAAGCTGCAAATAACCAGGAGAACAGGAAACAAATTGTGATCCAGGCAGTGAAATACTATGCAGCAATACACATAAGTGAAGCTTCTATGTAGCAACTTGGATGAATCTCAAAAGCACCATTTCGAGCAAAAGCAATATATACCATATGATTCCATTTACATCATCTTCAAAATCAGGTAAAACCAATCTGTGGTGATAAAAGTGAGAGTAGTGGTTACTCCATGATTGATAAGTTGTATTGACTGGAAGATAGAAGGGAATTCTTGGGTGTGATAGAAGTGTTCCATATTTTGATCTGGATGGTGGTCACACTGGGCTATACATATGTGTCTTAGCCTATTCGGGTCTCTATGACAAAATACCAGAGATGGATAGCTTGTAAACAATGGAAATTTATTTCTCACAGTTGTGGAGGCTGGAAGTCTGAGGTCAGGGTACCAGCATGGTGATGGCCTTCTTCCAAATGGCAGACTTCCTGTGTCTTCACATGGCAGAAGGAGGCAAGGGAGCTCTTTTGGGTTTCTTTTACAATATATCTGCCCTCGTGACTTAATCACCTCCCAGAGGCCCAACCTCAATACCATCACCTGGGGGGTTAGGTTTCAACACATGCATTTTGGGGGACATATTCAAACCAGAGCAATATGTAAAAAAAATTCACAAAACCATACCCTTAAGATTTGTTCATTTTACTCCTAAGTGTAAATTACATTTCAATAATACATTGTTTAAAAAAATCCAAAGTCCTTTCTATGGTCCATAAGGCCCTAGGGATGGTGTCTTCTTTGGCTCCCTCTTTTTTTTTTTTTTTTTTCCCAACGTTTATTTATTTTTGGGACAGAGAGAGACAGAGCATGAACGGGGGAGGGGCAGAGAGAGAGGGAGACACAGAATCGGAAACAGGCTCCAGGCTCTGAGCCATCAGCCCAGAGCCTGACGCGGGGCTCGAACTCACGGACAGCGAGATCGTGACCTGGCTGAAGTCGGACGCTTAACCGACTGCACCACCCAGGCGCCCCTTTGGCTCCCTCTTTGACTTCATTTCTTGAGACTCTTCCCCTTATTAATTTTACAAACACACTACCTTTCTTCCTGGTCCTCTAACACATCAAGCATGCTGCCACCTTTGCATTGACTCTTCCCTCTGTCTGTAATCTCTGTCCTCAAATATCACCTTTCATTTTATTCAGGTCTTTGGTTCCAGTCACAGTCACAGCTCTCTGGAGAACAGAGCTCCAGGCACGGACTTAAGCACTGTTAGTGCTCTATTTTGGAGGCAAATCTCACACAGCTGGTCACTCAGTATATTTGTTTCCTAGGGCTGTTGTAACAAAGTACCACAAACAGAGTCACCTAAAACAACAGAAATTTGTTGTCTTGCAGCTCTGGAGGCTAGAAATTCAAAATCAAGATGTTGGTAGGGCCATATGCCCTCTGAAACCTGTAGGGGATCCTTCCTCGTTTCTTCTAGCTTCTGGTGTTTGCTGACAATCCTTGGTGTTCCTTGGCTGGTAGATGCATCATTCCAACCTTGGTCTCTGTCATCACATGGCCGTCTTCTCCCTCTGTGTCTCTGTCTTTTCTTCTTATAAAGACATCAATCATATTGGGTTAGGACCTGCCCTGATGACCTCATCTTAACTCAATTACATCTGCAAAGACCCTCTCTCCAATAAGGTACTGGGTTCAAGATTTCAACATATCTTTTGGGGAACACAATCCAAACTACAGCAGTCAGTAAGCACATAGGCTTGGTCACAGAGATCGACTTCCGACAGGCTGTATAGAGAAATCATATATTGGAACAGTTCATCAGAGGGAAAAAGGGAGAGGACGTTTATCTGCCCAGTATCCTCCAGTCTCTTGTCTCCCACTGGTCACAATTCACTCAGGGGAATTAAATCCTCTGCATTTCCGTATTTCATCCTTTAGCCCCATCGGCAGTTGCTCAGGAGACAAAGCCCTGCAGTTTGGCGTTTCAGCTGAGTTTGGAGAGGAATGGGGAGAGGAGTCAGACATTCTAGACCTGCGACTAGTGATCCTCAGGCAGGGAAACCACAGGGGTCTGCACGGAGTCTGCAAGACTTTGCTGTGGCAACCAAAGAGGAGCAAGTGGCTGGGGATGAGACAGGTGGTGTACAGACAGGTCCCACACTCTGCTTAGATGTCACCTTCTCAGGGAGGTCTTTTCTGACTACTTCGTATCAAATAGAAGCCCCTTCTCCATCTCTGTACTACCTTATTTTGCTTAATTGTCCTTCATAGCCTGTCCCCACTAGACATATATTTATGTGTTAATTTGCTTATATTTATTTTACCCACTACAATATTCCATGCAAGTAGGACATTTGTCTGTTCTCTTCCCTAAGTGCCTAGCATAGTGCCTGGCACATTTGTAGGAGCTCAGTAAATATTTACTGACTTGAATGACTAGATGAATTAATGGTGTAAAGAAACGAACCTCCTGTTGGGAGGTAACTGAGTGGGTGGCAGTGGGGTTATCTTAGACACAGACACACCTATCACAAACAGGCCAGGGCCTAGCTTCACCTGAGGGGAAGGCTCCATTTCCAGGGTTTAAACTGTGCAGCTCCCAGAGTTGGTGAGGAGCTGCCAGAATCACAGCTGCAAAGCCTCAGGGCCATCAGGAAGAGGAAAGAACTGAGAGAATTGGAATCTCCCTGTTGTGAACTTGGAGAGCTGAAAGTGTGTGGTCCCCCTTGCCCTGCAGAGTCATAGCAGGTAAAGAATCCTGTCTTTGCCTCTTGACTTCTTCTAAGCCTCCTGAGTTATTTTCTGCCTCTGAAACTAAACTAGTACTTCTAATCCAGAAATGCCAGTAGATGTATCTTCTTTAGTAGCACAGCACTACCATATTTTTTTACGTGAAAATTGGGACACCTAAGCAAAAGAGCTCAAAATTTTATTCTCACTTTAAATGACAATTCTCTGTTTACTTCCTTCAAGTTCTGCATGTTTTGGGTTTAATATAATCAATATGATTTTTAGTCATAAACTCCTTTCTGTGCTTATTTTCTCTACGGAATCCACTATATGAAGCAATCTATTTTTGAAATATGTTGGAGCCCACATTGGATTACAGATGAAAAGGAGACTGTAACAAATGTTGGGTGGCTGTAATTCACTTGAAATTGTTTTCATGATAATTTTCCCTATTAGTGTGAAAAATGTGTATAATAACAAAGACAGAGATTTTCTGAGTTGAAGAATATACTATGCTCCTCTTGCATAATATTAAAAAGCAACAGTAGCTTGTTATTTCACCAAAATAGATATACTCCACTAGAAAATTGGCCTAAGACTAATGCTGTGACATGGTGACATTTTCCTCACCCCAAACTACTTAACCAAGTTCATTACTGCCTCTCTAACCAACTCAACCTGAACAAGTAGCATATAGTACTCTTCCACACACAGAGGGACATTTGTTTAGGTAAGGAAGGTTTTGGCTCTGGTGGTGATGAGGGAGCATGGGGCAAGCTGAGGGCAAAGTACAGGCTAACAGCATGCACCCCCGCTGCCCCAGGTAGGATATGTGTGATATTCCTCAGACACTCCTGGATGCCCAAGAACAAGGGAAAGGAAAGAAAGCAAATGGTTGGCTGACAGAGATCACAGTCATGCAGGACAGGAGTCTTCTATCCATAAGTTTATGGATAACTTAGTAAACTGCAAGAAAAAGGCAATCTTATCCATAGTCTGATCTCTGGAAACCTATCGACTCTGTTTCCAGGAGCCCTAATATCACCCTCATCAAGATGGAAAGGGGTTTAAGTGCTTGCCATGGTGGCATGGGAAACTAAGGCAAGTGAAAAATTAAATTCCCTTATTGCCAACAGCCCGTTGACGAGTCCTTGAAACAGGCAGAGAGACCTCCCTCTAGGAGTGCAGTTGCCTTGATGGTGACACTTTACTAGGGGCAAAAGGGACTCTTGGCTTAACATTATCCTGGACCCCCACTCCCACCCCAGGATCCTGTAAGTTGACTTTAACATATAAAAATTCCTTTAGAAACTTCCTTTATCTCAACTCCCCCAAGATATATGCTGGCAATCATACTCCAAGCTTATGGCTCCCTGATGTGCATCTGAAGGGTCTCATGACTGAGGTTTTACTAAATGGTAATAAATGGCATTTTCCTAACAGCAGCTAGCCACTCAAGGTCCTGGAAACCTTGTTTCCAAAGTGCCTTAGAGACTTACTCTATCCCTAACCCCCTCCCAACCTGAAGGTATATAATTAGTTACCTGTCACAACCCCAATGCAGCTCTTTCTTCCCATGAGTCCTGGCCCCATGCTTTAATAAAATCACCTTTTTGCACCAAAGATGTCTTCAAGAATTCTTTCTTGGCTGTTAACCCTGAAACCCCCACCATCACCCCAAAACCCCATCGGTGGGGTGTTGAACCTGCTCCTTATTTAGACCAGAGTGATTTGCCTATCAGTGATTTTCACAGTTCTTGATTACAGAGGAACTGTCCCTTCTGAAAACATGGCCAGGTGGAGCATTCAAACTCTTTCATAACCAATTCCCCTTAGGCAGGGGGTTCATATATGAACTAATGCAAATAACTACCAGTTTTCTTTATAGAGGTCAGTTTCTCTCTCTATAATACAATTTTACTTCTGGAGCAAAAGACTTTTCTTCTCTTTTAGGACTTGCTTCCGTAACTAAGTCATACATTTTATCTCTGAGTAATATTTTTTTTGAGAAGGTTCAGTTTAACTATGTCTCCACACTATACAATTTACCTTTCTGCAGAAGACTATTACCACACATAGCCTCTTTTTAGGGACTATAAAAACTGACAACTTAAAACTTTACATTAGTTCATCATGAATCTGGAAATTGGAAGGCAGTCACTAGATAATCCCAAGACTATTTTTCCTTGTTTTTCATAATATTTCAATGTTTACTTTAATTCCAGTGCCCCCAAATTGGATATATCTAAAGTGCAATTCAAACTGCATAGCTAATTCCTCTCTAATTGGCTCTTACATGCGATAATGATACATATACCAAAAACAAACAATTCTACTTTTAAAACTCACAAAGAAGCCTAATATGAGGTTCTAAAAATGGGTCATTGTGACTTTGCCTTATCGATAAAATTTTTATATTATCATCACCAAATTGTTAGCCACTTTCCTATCCCTGCCTATTGTTTTAAGATTTTAATCCAAATACACTCCCCCAAATTGACAAATCTTCCAAGTTTTAAATCAAGACCATGACGCTTGTTTATTATAAACCACAAATTGGGCCTCTCCTGATCAGACAGTTTTAATTATGCATTTCTTCTTTAGAAAGCTTATGAGACCACGTGAGCTACAGTCTCCTAATGAGTGTGGTATTCCTGTGGTAGTCCTTACAACTCCCAGGTGAATAGCCTTGCCTGGGAAAGGCAATTGTCTTAGTTGAGTAGGCATTAATGTTGAAGGTATGGAAAAGGAAGTTGGCTTGATTCCGTTTTCACTAGCCTATCACAGATGCTAAATTCAAGTTTCACCTGAGGCACCAAACTAGGATAGATATGAAATCCCAAAGTGAGGTGCCAAGATGCAGGCCTTCAATCAAAATACCAAAGAAGACAAAGATCAGCTCCATGAGTCTAAAACTTCTCATCGCAGGAGGAAATAGCAGTGTCCAGGAAGTGGAAACTCAAGGAGGATTTCCTAAGGAGTATTTTCTTGGTGAGAGCTGTGCTATGATTCCTACCACCAAGGGTGGGGGGTAGGGAAGGCTCCACTGGGCCACTCAGAGAACAGTTCCCTAAGTCAAGAGCAAGGGGAATTCATGTCTGACTCCAACCTTGGAATCTACAGATCAGGGGAGAGGATTTGTGAATTTCTTGGCAATGGGGGTAAGTGCTGTTGTTAGGACTAGACTGTGCTTTCAGAGTTTATCGGGGGGTGGGGGGAATAGGCACAAATATTTCTATGGACCAGATGTGAGACACATAGGAGAGAACAATCCCGCAGTCCCTATAAGTCCTGCTCAAGAAGACAGCTGGCAGGGGTGCCTGGGTGGCGCAGTCGGTTAAGCGTCCGACTTCAGCCAGGTCACGATCTCGTGGTCCGTGAGTTCGAGCCCCGCGTCAGGCTCTGGGCTGATGGCTCGGAGCCTGGAGCCTGTTTCCGATGCTGTGTCTCCCTCTCTCTCTGCCCCTCCCCCGTTCATGCTCTGTCTCTCTCTGTCCCAAAAATAAATAAACGTTGAAAAAAAAAATTAAAAAAAAAAAAAAAGAAGACAGCTGGGTATGGGTGGAGGGTAAATTCAGATGGTACAGAAGGAGGCAATTTGGAGGGGACCTCAGGGAAGCCAGGCCCGAAGGGGGAGCAGGTAGCCAAAACAGTGGCACTTGCCTACACTGAAGGCCCAGCAGGAAGGCTGACCAAGAATATGTGAAATACCCACGAGAGAAAGAGCTGACCTGATACCTTTGTCAGGCCTGGAAAATGTGATGCCAACTGTCCCAGCCAAGGGAGAACTTTCCTTTCCTCCTCTCCTTTTCTCTCCTCCCTTCCCTAATTCTTTGATTCTAGAAGGGTAAAACCTAGCAGGCATTAAGTACAGGCAGAAAGAGCAAGGAAAAAAGAAGCTGACCATATCTTCTTTCCTAAAGGCTGGAACCAGCCTGTGCCAGCTCTAAATGGGGGAGGAAGAGAGAATTCTCTATGAATAAAGATAGAAGTATTTAGTAATATATTGGTTTGGACACTTTAACAGAAAAACTGTAGTACTTTCTATCATCTATAAGTGACCAAAAAGGGCCTGAGTGGCTCAGTCAGCTAAGCAAAGTTTTCCAAAATGTATTCCAAGGACTACTAATTCCTAAAGATTTTAATAGGGACTCCATAGGGGCACCTGGGTGGCTCAGTCAGTTAAGCATCAGACTCTTGGTTTTGGCTCAGGTCATGATCTCATGGTTCACAGGTTCAAGCCCGTGTTGGGCTCTGTGCTGACAGTGCGGAGACTGCCTGGGATTCTCTCTGTCCTCCTTTCTCTGCCCCTTTCCACCTCCCCGACTTGTGCGCTCTCACTTGCATGTGCACACATCTCTCTCTCAAAATAAACTTAAAAAAAAAAAAAAAGTGACCAAAAAGCTATATATCCAGTGGCAGAGTAGAATTACCCTACTGAACAAGTCTAAAGCAGAGAGAAAAAACACTAAAATTGCTTTTATTTATTTTTTTAAAGTTGAAGTACATTTGACGTATAATATATTAGTTTCAAATGTACAACATAATAATTAGATATTATTATGATCACCATAATAAGTGAAATGATCACCACAATAAGTCTAGTTAACATCTATTACCACATATGGTTACAAAAATTTTTTCTTATAATGAATAAAGTTGCTTTCATAATTTCACCCAGAAGTCCTGCTTCTTCAATAAATTGGTTGTATCACCAGCAAGAGTGATGGATATATTTTTATAACCCACCTTCCAGTGAGGTAGCTAAAACAGGGTGAATCAGATTCTCCCTATACACAAATATGGGGATGTCTAATGAATGTCTAATCTATAACAGAATTCCCAGGACTGGGAAAATGCGAGGCCTTATTGTGCTTCTGTCACTGTGCTATTGATCTCTATATTATAATATGAAGAATGACACAGCCAGGTAAGCATAGAGTGAATGGAGAAAAGATTGTGAGGCCAAGTCTAAAATAGTCTTCAGGAAACTTTAGTGTTTCTCATGGAGGCAGACGCATCCTTTATATCTCACACAGGCAAAATGCATAATTAACAGATGCCAAGGCCCTTTAGTATAACAGATCTCAATTGATTGTCACCAGGTTCCCATGAAATGCAGAGGGCATTTCAGATAATAGCAGATGCTATTTATCTGCATTATACAGAAAGTAATAACTGTAATATAATATAGGTAATATTATATAATACAATAACAACAACAACAACAACAACAACAATAATGGCTAACGGTTATTGAGGATGCATTATGTACCTGGAACTTATGCTAAATTTCCTATAACCATCATATTTATGTATAATTCCATTAATGTCTCCACTTTACTGATGATGAAACAAGGTCTTAGGCTAAGTAATTCACTTAAGGTCAAACTGTAGATAGAGGATGGAACTGCAACTTAATCTCAACCGTTTCTCAAATTCCTAACCCTGAACCTCTGCTCAGATGAACAAAATGGAACTTGGACATTAAGTAACTCATTCAAAGTTCTACAATTAGTAGTCACTGGCATTAACGAACTTGGGTCTTGTAACCTATCCTTATCTCATTGGAGATCTTCAATGAAGATCTCAGCTCTCTCATAGAGAAAGAATTCACTAACCTATAGGAAGGAGATTAAACAAATATTTTTTGCCAATGAAAAAACAGGCCTCAAAGGAAGATACTTTAGGTAAATTATATCCATACATTAGAATATTTTGTAGCTATTATTTTAATGAAGATTATTTTAAACATGTAAAGCACTTTTCCATTCCAAATAGAAAAAGTTACATAAAATACTAATGCTTTCAAGTTTGTATGAATGCATGTATCTATAGACATATGCAGTTGACCTTTGCATACCTTGGGTTTGAACTGCAGGGGGTCCACTTACATGTGGATTTATTTTGATCAATATGGACAGTACAGTAAATGTACTTTCTCTTCCTTATGATCTTCTCAGTAATATTTTATTTCCTGAAGCTTACTTTATTGTAAGAATATAGTGCACAATACATATACATAATGAGGATTAGCTGACTGATGTTGATAAGGCTTCTGGTCAACAGTAGATTATTAGTAGTAAAGTTTTGGGGGAGTCAAAATTATATGCAGATTTGACTGCATGGAGGTGGGGATGGTGGGGAGGCGGTGGTGGGAGGCTGAAGGTGTGTGTGGTGTGTATATCAGCGCCCCAATCCTGAAGCGATTCAAGGGTCAACTGTACACGTAATTGAATGTAAGTAGCTAGTTATATGCATGTTTTTATGGGTGTATATATGATTGTATCTTTTTCAAATGGGAAATTAAGAATAAAATGCACTAAAGTATTAGAGATAAATTATTATCTCTAGGTGGTGGAATTATGGGTAGCTTTTACTTTTTCTCCTGTACTTTATTTTCCTCCAAAAGATCAATACATGTTCTTTTTTATTTCTCCTACCAGATGGGTTTATTATTTTATTATTATTATTATTTGCTTTTCCAGTTTTATTTGAGATATAATTTGCATACCATAAAATTCTCTCATTACAAAAAACTTTTTTTTTTTTACATTCATTTATTTTTGATAGACAGAGAGAGACAGAGCACAAGTGGGGAAGGCACAGAGAGAGAAGGAGACACAGGATCCGAAGCAGGCTCCAGGCTCCAAGCTGTCAGCAAAGAGCCCGACCCGGGGCTCAAACTCATAGACTGTGAGATCATGACCTGAGCTGAAGTCAGACGCTTAACCGACTGAGCCACCCAGGTGCCCCAAAATTCGCTCATTTTAAATACACCAATGATATTGTTAAATTTACAGAGTTGTGCATTCATCACAACAAGCCAATTTTAGCACACTTCCAACACTCCAAGATTTCTTGGGCCCATTTGCAGTCACTCCCCATTCCCACTCTCCAGACCTAGGCAATCCCTAATCTACTTTCTGTTTCTATAGACTTGCCTTTTCTGCACATTTTATCTAAATGGAATCATACCATATGTGGTCTTTTTAGTCTGGCTTGATTTACATTCTTTTAAAGAAAGAAAAAGAATAAATATTCTCTGGTTCTTTGCCTTTTGCATCAAAACCAAAGAAAATCCCTTACTTTCTTCCTCTTCATAATAGCATAATCATGTTACAACATCTTCTTTACCTCCGTAGTTCTTGACTCAAATCCCTTTTAGACACTAAGAGTAAGTTGTAGAACAGTGAACTTATTCCAGATATTTCAAGGGTCTCTCCTATCCTTGTTTCTCACAAGTTTCCTTATTTCTTTATATAAAAAAATACATAACTATTTTATTCTTATCACCTGGGCAGTCATTTTTTACTTGCCGTCTACTCTTGATTCTTTTGACCAAACCAGTGACTCCATCTCTGAAGTGCAAGGGCTTTGGAATCAGACCTGGGTCTGGTTCAGGAACCCCCAGTCCTGAGAGGCCAGTAGCTGGGCTCTCAAGAGCAAGTTATCAATCTTTCCTGAGGCTCAGTGTCCTTGTCCTGGTGAGTACACTGGAGTTACTGGTACCTACGACCACAGCTAAATGGGAACATAAGAGGGCTCTGGGTAAGCCAATGATTGCTGGTACTCCTTTGAAAGAATATTTTTTTTTTTAACGTTTATTTATTTTTGAGACAGAGAGAGACAGAGCATGAATGGGGGAGGGTCAGAGAGAGGGAGACACAGAATCTGAAACAGGCTCCAGGCTCTGAGCTGTCAGCACAGAGCCCGACGCGGGGCTCGAACTCACAGACCGCGAGATCATGACCTGAGCCGAAGTCGGCCGTTTAACCGACTGAGCCACCCAGGCTCCCCGAGAGAATATTTTTTAAATAATTCTTCAACTTCTATTTTGAGGAAAGACAGGGTTTCCATAGAGCAAAACAAGATGCCTTGCAGTTCATTAGACCTATGCTCCTTAGAATGCACATTTGACTTCTTGGGCTCTCATTGCCATGTCAAGTAGCTCATCAGGGTTCTTTTAACCCAAACAACACTCTCCCTCAAAGGACTGATAAATATAATTTTCTATGTTTCATTTTCCAAGATTTTTGTCCCTTTTTGTGGAGTAGTGGCCTGGGCAGCTTTCCTTCTGACTTGGCTTCATAGAATGTTCGGAAGATTAAATGGGATAACACTTGTGGAGATTTCTGCATAGCTTGTGACACCAACGGATATTCAATAAATGGTGACTCTTAGTATTATGGCCAAAAACCATGTCAACTCTGAGATTCTGGTAATGAAACATCATATACAGTCATTTTTTCCTCTAGCTCCTTACATTTATTCTTGAGTAAAGGCATTTTGAAAGAGCATTTGGTAACCTTGAAAGGTTCTCAAGAGCTCTTTATAAACAAATCTTAATAAATATGAGACCCATTTCCTCCCTCATACCTCTATCAGAAAGAAAAGCAGCAACAGAAATGCCTTTGGTACTCTTTGTATAGCGTAACATTTTAAATAGTACTTACCTAAAACATGATAGAAATGGATGGAGTTCAGCTGGGGACAAGCACCAAGCAGGGAGGTGTTGCTGAGAGAATGGGGTGGCAGGTCTGAAACCAGATCCTGACTATCGAGCAGAGGGAAAACAGCGAAGTCTTTGGAGGAGTTTTATTAGGATAAAAGCATCCCAGAATGCACCTGCTGTTTCATTCTCCAGTCTCCTTGAACCTCCTCTGAGCAGGGGAGTAAGGGCAGGGCAGGAGAGAAAAAAAACAAAGTGAGGTTAGCAGTGCTATGTCTCTTTTCCCATGATCTATTCCTAAAGGTACAGCATAAATATCAAAACAGGGTTTGGTAGTAGTCCGAAAGATTTAACTTGTCCCCAAATTCCTAAATAACGATTAGAGCTTAGTTTGATTTTTGGCTGAACGTAACCAAACAACTTCTAGGCATAACATTTGTTGTGCACGCCTACCAGGGACAGGATGAAGTGACCACCTACCCATTCAGCACTCCAGCCAAGGAAAGGGCCGGCACGTGGGGCCAACCATGCAAGTTTGCCCACGTGCCTTGGGATCTTGGCTCCCAGACCCCAAACCTCAGTTCTGCTTGTGGCTCCACTACTCCCCACTCTTAACTGTGTTTCTTCTCTCCATGCAGGTGATGGAGGCCCAAGCAGGTCCCAGGTTCAAGGCCAGAGACTTCGCTAGGCATCCCCTCAGTCACCGCTGGTGACCCTTCTGGCCTACTGGCTGCCCCCCCCCCCCGCCCCCTCCTGCTTCCAACATGCCTTCACTGCCCCTCCATTCCATCCCAGCTCTTCCTCACCCTTCAGGACAAACTGTTCCCTGGACTCCACACTTGGTGACTACCGTGGGTGCTCCGGCCCTAAGCCTTGATAACCTTCCTCTTCATCCCTTTTGAAAGGGGAAACGGGAAAGGTGACCAAGAAACCGCCAGCAAGTTTCGACCACCGCCGAGGAAGACTAATGGGTTTCTAAGGAAACAGGGAGGCAGCAGCCATTTTAGTGGCATTCGCTGTATGAAAAATATATACACTGACATTCACCCCCGCCCCCTCCTCCTCCCCCTCCCCCCTCCCCACCCGTGGCGCCTTCGCTCCGTCCGCGCTTCCGAGGCCCAGGTCTCCCCGAGACGTGCGGCCACCTGTCGCAGGTGGCCGGCCACGCTGGGTCGCCCCGAGCCGCCCTCCCCACAGCGGGCGGGACCGCGGGACTGCCCACCCCCGGCGCCGCAGTGCAGCTGCGGGCGGGCGGCTCGGGCCCTCCCGGTCCCCGCGTCCCGCCCCTCGAGTCCCCTCCCCC